GGGGGGGGGGGGGGTTGAGAGAGCAGGCACAGCCTCTGCTGTGTTGCCAGATCCAGTTATTATAAGCGTCATTGGGCGTCTTTTTTCCTGCTTAATGTGACACTTTAGGAACTTTAAAAAAGTGGGAAGTTGCAGGTTAGCTATATCTTCATCTTGAACTTATTTTGGTTTATACTATTTTTGGGCGGCTTGTTTTTGCTTGCTTCTGTAGCAATACCTGGCAACACAGCACTTAAACTGACAATAATAGTAGTAATATAAAATAAGCCCATAGAGAGCAAGGGCATGTTATTGCCAACAGAATACCACATTCAATAAGACAAACACAGTGATCTTCATGATATTATCTGAAGCGCTATCAAGAAAAGAATGAAATCTGCAAACACTGGCCACGAAGAAGGCTATGCTATTTCATTCAGGTTATCAGTTAAGTCAGCTTTGTGAACATTCATAAGAGCACTAGACAAAGTTCTAATCATATAGCAATGCTTACTAATGAAAATTATTACAGTAATAAGTAATAAATAATAAAAGTGTCCACCCCTAACCTATAGCTTTAACAAATGCAGTATGATATTATATATATAGAATAAGGTTTAATTTAACAATGTCCACCCTCCAAAAGAGAGAAAACATCTTTGACAAACATCTACATGTCTGTCTCTTTTAAAGTGCATATATATCAGTTAAGTCAGCTTTGTGAACATTCATAAGAGCACTAGACAACGTTCTAATCATATAGCAATGCTTACTAATGAAAATTATTACAGTAATAAATAATAAATAATAAAAGTGTCCACTGCTAACCTATAGTAAAGCTTTAATAAATTTGAATGCAGTATGATATTATATATATAGAATAAGGTTTAATTTAACAATGTCAATCCTCCAAAAGAGAGAAAACATCTTTGACAAACATCTACATGTCTGTCTCTTTTAAAGTGCATATGTAGTGTATATAATGAGTTGCATTTATTATTTATTATAGCACAATTCTTAACACCCCACCTC